TGTCTTCCAAATAGAAGCCTCAGGGGCAGCTAGGTGGTACAGTAGATAGAGCTGTGGCCTTGGAGTCAGGAGGACCAGAGTTCAAATCCGGTCTCAGACACTTGATACTTACTAGCTGTGTGACCCTGGGCAAGTCACTTCACTCCAACTGCCTAAGCAAAAAATAAATAAATGAGTTGAATGACCAAATAGAAGCCTCTCTGAAATTCTGCTGCTTTTGGTTTTGTTTTAGAAGGGATGAATTTGAGAGGCATTGTAATGGGAGATTCTCTCTCTGGGATTTAGTGACTGGATGTGGGAGGAGTCAAAGATGACTTAGATATTTTGAGATTGAGTGATTTGAATAAAGATGGAAAGAGTGAGAGAAATGGGAAATCATAAAGGGATGAAAGTGACAAGCTTGAGGTGATAGCAGAAGACATATTTCATGAATGTATGAATTGAATTTCAGTTTCTCCATGTATGATTTCCAATAAGCAGTTGGAGATTGGAAATTGGCACTCAGGGAAGAGGGCAGAGCTGGAGATCTGGGCGTCGTTGGCATTGAGTTGATAGCTGAAGTTATATGAATGGATGAGATAATGGAGATGAATGTGTAGAGAAAGAAAAGCATGGAGCTTGTCCACAGTAAAGGACCAGAAGGACGAAGAAGGAATGATGTAAAGGGAAGAAGTGGTATAGTGTTTCAGAGACTGAGGGAAAAGATAGTTTCAGGAAGGAGTTGGTTAATAAAGTATACACTCTCTTGAAATTGCTTAGTATTTGATGGCTTATTTGCTTTTGGCGTTCTCATACTTGTGCACGTGTTGCATCCTCTCAGTAGGATGGTCTGCCCTGGAGGGCATGGGCGGAGCTGTTTTTGTCTTTGTCTTCCCAGTGCCTAAGGGCACTGTGCTGGGCACATAGGAGGACTGGTTAGAAGTCTTTGATGACATTTGGGAATGTAATTTTAGTAGCCAAATAAGAGCAGAAGCCAGATAGTACAGGGTAATGGGATGTAGGCAATGTGTGTAAATTACTTTTCAAGTGATTGCTAGGGTGGCTCAGGGAAATTCCTGGTTTTTTCCCAAGATGGGAAGACCTAGACCTGCATTTTTGAAGGCCGGAAAGTGAACGCAGGGCACATGTTCCAGCCCAGTTTTGGAGGAGGTAATGGTGCAACGCATAAGCATGTTTTGCTTATTGGTGTCTTTCACGTTTGAAGATGCTTTTAGTGCTGTTTATTTTATCTAACTCCCTACTTGGAATGTGTGTTGTGCTTGAGCAGTCTGTCTTCAGAGAGACCATGGCCACTTGACTGTGCTCAGATAACAATTCTGTATCGTGGACACGGTCCACAAAAGCCTTGGCCAGCTCTCTCAGTCGCAGGAAGAGCCAGACGAGGAATTGTGGATGTTGTTGTGTATTGTTGTTCAGTACTTCAGTCATGTCTTGCTCTTTCTGATCTGATGGACCACAGCACACCAGGCCCTTCGGTTCTGCACTATCTTCCTGAGTCTGTCTAAGCTCACATTCATTGTTTCCATGATACTATCCATCCATCTCATCCTCTGCCATCCCCTTCTCCTTTTGACTTTATTCTTTCCCAACATCGGGATCTTTCCCAGTGAGTCCTGTCTTCTTATTATGTGGCCAAAGGAGTTAAGCTTCAGCTTCAGCTTCAGTATTTGCCCTTAGCCTGAATTGATTTCGTGAAGCACTGACTGATTTGACCTCCTTGCTGTCCCAGGGACTCTCAGAAGTCTTCTCCAGCCCCACAATTCCACAATTCAAAAGCATCGATTCTGCGGTGCTCAGCTTTCCTTAGAGTCCAGCTCTCCCAGCCTGCATTGCTACTGGGAAGGCCGCAGCTTTGACTCTACAGACCTCTGTCAGCAAGGTGATGTCTCTGCTTTGTAGTCTGCTGTTCGGATTTACCATAGCTTTCCTTTCAAGGAGCAAGTGTCATTTAATTTCACAGCTGCAGTCACTGTCTGCAATGAGCCCAGGAATATGAAATCTAACATTACTTTAGTTTCTTCTCCCTTTATTTGCCAGGAAATAATGGGACCAGTTGGCATGATCTTAGGTTTTTTTTTGATGTTAAGCTTCAAGCCAGCTTTTACACTTTCCTCTTTCACTCTCATCAAGAGACTTTTTAATTCTTCTTTACTTTCTGCCATCAGAATGGTATCATCTGCACATCTGAGATTGTTGATATTTCTCCTGGCAACCTTAATTCTGGCTTTTGATTTGTCCCGCTTGGCATTTCACATCATATACTTTGCATATAAGGTAAATAAGGTGACAATATATAGCCTTGTTGTACTCTTCTTCCAATCTTAAACCAATCAGTTCCATGTTTGATTCTAACGGTTGCTTCTCGGCCCGCCTACAGGCTCCTCAGGAGACAAGTAAGATGATCTGGTACTCCCATCTCTTTGAGGACTTGCCGCATTTTGTTGTGATCTACACAGTCAAAGGCTTTAATGTAGTTGATGAAGCAGAAGTAGATGTTTTTCTGGAACTTCCTTGCTTTCTCCACATTCCAGCAATTTGGTCTCTAGTTCCTTTGTCTCCTTGAAAACCAGCATGCACTTTTGGTAATTCTTGGTTCACCTATTGCTGAATCCTAGCTTGCAGAATCTTAAGCATAACTTTGCTGGTGCGTGAAATAAGTGTAATTTTTTGGTAATTTGAACATTCTTTGGCATTGCCCCTCTTTAGGATTGGGATGTTAACTGCTCTTTTTCCAATCCAGTGTCCACTGTTGAGTTTTCCAAATTTACTGTCATATGGAGTGCAGCACTTTTAATAGCATCATCATCTAGGATTTTACATAGCTCAACTGGAATTCCATTACCTCCACTAGCCTTATTGTTAGCAATGCTGTCTAAGGCCCACTTGACTTCATTCTCCAGGATGTCTGGCTCTAGATCAGTGACCACACCAGATCTTTCTTGTATAGTTCTTCTGTGTATTCTTGTCACCTTTTCTTAATCTCTTTTACTTCTGTTAAGTCCCTACCATTTTTTTTCCTTTTATCATGCCTATCTTTGCAAGAAACACTGCCTTGATAGCTCTCATTTTATTGAAGAGATCTTTTGTCCTTCCCTTTCTACTGTTTTCTTCTATTTCTTTGCATTACTCATTTAAGAAAACCTTATCTTTCCTGGTTATTTTCTGGAATTCTGCGTTCAGTTGGATATATATATTTTCCTTTCTGCTTTCCCTTTTGCTTTCCTTCTTCCCTCAGCTAAAAGTAAGGCCTCATCAGAAGCCATTTTGTTCTCTTACTCTTCTTTTTCTTTGGAATATTTTTTTGTTGCTACTTCTTGTACATTGTGAACCTCTGTCCATAGTTCTTCAGGCACTGTGTCTACCAGATCTAATCCCTTAAATCTATTCATTACCTCCACTTCATATTCATAAGGGATGTTACTTAGGTTTTTACCTGTATAATCTGATGGTTTTCCCTGCTTTCTTCAGTTTAAATCTGAATTTTGCAATAAGAAGCCATGATCAGTCCGGTGATATTGAATGGTTTGCTCTGGATTTGAACAGATATCATTGTCATTTTTGAGATTATACCCCAGTACTGCTTGTCTCTTCCTTTTATTGACTTATGAGGGCTACTCCATTTCTTGCCCACAGTAGTAGATGTAATGATCACCTGAATTAAATCCACCCATTCCCATCTATTTAAGTTTACTGACACCCAAGATGTCGATGTTTAATCTTTCCATCTCCTGTTTGACCACATCCAGCTTACCTTGGTTCATAGAGCTTACATGCCAACTTCCTTTGCAATATTGATTTTTTTTGGGGGGAGGATGAGGCTAGGCAATGGGGTTAAGTGACTTGCCCAGGGTCACACCGCTAGTAATGTAATATTGATCTTTACAGCAAGGGACTTTCCTCTCGTCACCAGATACAGCTGTAGCTGAGCTTCCTTTGGCTCTGGCCCAGCCACTTTGTTCTGTCTGGAGCTGCCTGTAGTTATCCTCTGTTCTTCCCCAGTAACGTGTTGAACACCTTCTGACCTGAAGGGCTCATCTTCCAGTGTCCTCTCTTTTATCATTTTAGTACTGGCCATGGGGTTTTCTTGGCAAAGATCCTGAAGTGCTTTGCCATTTCCTTCTCTAGTAGATCACCTTTTGTCAGAATTTTCCACTATGACCTGTCCAACTTGGGTAACCCTGCACTGTGTAGCTCATAGTTCCACAGTTTAACCCTTGATTTCTGCTATAAAATTCTTAACCCTTAATAGAAATATTTCCAATGTGCCTATTCTTTTTCTTGGATTATTTTAAAGTTGGAATGAATAAAATATCAGGAGAGATATCTTTGGGAATACGCTGGATTTTGTTATATGGACTTTGAAACTTGGATTTACTTTTGATTAGGAATCCCCCTGTTAGTCAATAAGCATTTATTAAGCACCCACTGTGTACCAGGCACTGAGCTAAATTTTGAGAATATACAAAGAGGCAAAAGACAGTCCCTGCCCTCAAGGAGCTCACAATTGAATGGGGAAACAACCAGCAAATAGGTACAAACAAGCTATATGCAGGATAAACTGGGCTTAAGACAGCTGGGGAAGGCTTCCTGATGATTTTAATTGGGACTTAAAGGAGACCAGTGTCATTGGATGGAATAGTGTGTGTCAGGGAGTAGTAACGTGTAAGAAGACTGAGAAGGTAGGTGAGATCTGAGTTATGAAGGGCTTTGATCCTGGAGGTGCTAGGAAGCTGCTAGAGTTTGAGGAGGGGAGGGAGTAACGTGGTCAGAAGTAAGCTTTGGGAAAATCACTTTGATGACCGAATGGAGACTGGACGCATTGCTCCCCCTCCCCCTCCCCCTCCCCCGGCAAGCAGCTACTGTAATAGTCCCGTTGTTAGGTGACCAGGGTGGGGACAGTGTCAGAGGAGAGAAGACTCTGAAGAAAGTAACAACTAACAAAACAGCCTTTTGTGTTCCAAATAACTAATGCTATTGTTGTCATTTGTTGTTCAAAATAGGAATGTTTACATCAAGCTGGATTATACTTAAAGATAAAAATCCTTTTGAGACTGAAAGCATCTGATGAAGAACTCCATGAAGGTGTGCCAATGAAAGGCCCTCACTGAACCCTAGACAGTGTCAGCATCTTTTCTTCTAATTTAACAATCACAGAAACTGGATGCTGGGGATTAGGGGAAGTGGGGGTGAGGTAGAGAGAAGGGACTGAGCTCAGGGGAAAAAGAACAAGTATCAACTAGAAGGAAAGAAAGAGAAAGTTGGAGAGGAAAGGATAGCAAGCACGTGAAAAATGTGGTCAGCTGATGAAGTGACCTGATCTGATCAGAAGCCTAATTTGTTTGTGGGCCTAGCAGGCAAATAGAGCTGCCTAGATTTTCCCAAATCCTCTGTTGGTCCAGAGAATAGGTGCCTTCCTAGGATGTGCTCAGTTAGGAAGCTTACGTCACTGTGGGGTCTGTTCATAATGAAAAAGACACTGCAGTTGTTCATTCAGTAACTGTTTCCTCAGCTCTTGCATAGTGGTAGGCGCAAAGGGAGACAGTGAGGAGGACACAGGCTCTGCCCTCAGTTTTCCATAGGAAAATAAAATATAAATTAGGCTCTAAGTCCTGTGTTCTCAGAGAGCGGGTGAGGGGGAAATCAGTAGCTCTGTCTCAGCTGATCCCCTGGGGCTAGCATTTTCCTGCCAGAAGAATCTTTGATGAATCACTTTTTAAAATAAAACAAGATGTTTGCAAGTCATTATTTTATCAGTAACAACACTGATCCAGTTCCTGCTGCTTTCTCTTCAGCTGCCATGAAACTCCTGGATCTCGAGGTGCCTTTAGATTTCTTTTTGAGCACGGCTAAGTTGCTTCTGGAGTATGGAAGGTATGGGCACATTGGCTTTCCTTTCTCTAAATGCTAATCATATTATGAGATATCTGTCCACGTGAGAGAACGCCGCACTGTTTAACATTGTGCAGAAAAGAGGCCATTTGCTTGTTAGGCCTCTCCATCTGCTCATTGGCTAATGGAACCTGCTCAGTTATAAGGGAAGCCTTGACACTCAGCTTGAAATGATGCAATGAACATCAAAGATCCGAGTGACGGGCAAGTTTATTTTTTTTTTTTATTTTTTAGAACAAAGCCATTGTATTTCTACTAGTAGGTACAGAGGATTTTGTAATATGGATGGAATTATGAATGGCAAATAATACAAATATACTTTATTTTGGAAAAAAAGTTTACATAAGTAATGGGACACTTTGGAAACACTCTTGCTTAACCATGTTACTGAACAAAAACAATGCCACTTTAACCTCCTCCTCTTCAATGTGTATTTGGAGATAGGAAGACAGCATTTGGTTTAAAAAAAAATGACCTCATGTTAAGGCCTGGTCACCTAAGTGTAAACAATGTAGAATGAATTCACCACACATAGTTCTGATTACTAGCTATAGCAAATCCATGGTGTCTCTGTGTTTTGAGAGCTATGGAACACATACCTCCACTCACCCTCCTGGAAGGGTTGCTGCATCACAGTCTAAGTTGAGTTCTTGGCAGGCAGGACTGAAGAAGAATGTCAAACAAGTTTTACAAACCATTTAGAGTGAATTGCCAGTGTTCCCTTGAGGTACATTAAGAAACAAGTAACAATAGAGCGACACTGCTTAGAAGTGCCAGGCAAGTTTAGAAAAGGCAAAACGGCTGACACCTGCAATGCCGGGCCTCCCTGTCCTTGGGCCTGTTCTGGGAGCAGTGCCTGCCGCCAATTCCCATGGTCAGTGTGGGGAGCCAGCTTCTTAAAGTGTGGGTGATGGGTAACAGAAGGGCCCTTCAAACATGTACAGTTATGTCCTGGTTGTTTCTTGTCTGCCTGCTGCCTTTTTGTAGGCTGCTGAGCTAGGCCTGGTGGGAAAGACAAAAGGCTTCAACTGAGGAACTTGGGCTCCTGTAAATTTCTGTTGTCCATGAGGTGGAAGGAGTATTCTGTGCTTATCAGGAGTCAAATCCGTGTTCATTGGCAGCATCAAAGGGCTGTGTTTCAAGGGATGGCCAGTCTCTTCTCCCTCCCCACTCCTTTAAAAATGTTGAAAAGAAAAGCAATTTTGTGCTAGAATGTTAATAAGAATTCAAAATAGGTGGGAAAATAGCATCAGCTGAGATACAATTGAGATAACAAGTTTGAACACATTATAGTAAAATGGGGGCTCAGGGAAGAGAAGGGGAGAAGCATTTATTAAGCACATACTACGTGCCAGGCACTGTACAGTATTATCTCACTTGATCTTCATAACAGCCCTGGGAGGTTATGGTGTTGCTCAGTTGTTTCAGAGTCTCTGTGACCCCATTTGGGGTTTTCTTGGCAAAGATACTGGAGTGGCTTGCCATTTCCTTCTCCAGCTCATTTTACAGATGAGGAAATTGAGGCAAGCAGGGGTAAGTGACTTGCCCAGCGCCCCCCCAGCTAGGAAGTATCTGAGGCCAGATTTGAATCCAGGTCTTCCTGACTCCAGGCCTTGTACTCTATCCACTGCAGAACCCCTTAGCTGCCTCTGTTAATAGTATTAATACTCTATTGCCCAGCCAGGGCTGGAAAGAGTGCTGGCTCTGCAGTTCTGCAATCTTGGCTCCCCTACCTGGAGTTTGTGTGGCCTTGGGTAAGTCATTTCCCTTCTGCACACTCTCTCCAGTGAATTCCTTGAATGGCAGTATAGCTTCAGTTGAGGATGTTGTGTAGCAGAAATGATCTCTGCTACCCAACTTCACTGACACTCAAAATAAACATACGTCCAGTTTAGATGTTGGGACTCTTTAGCCTGAGTTGAGCTGGCCTGGACTTAACCTTTCCTTTGCACAAGCTCTGGATCAAAGCTAGACTAAGTGTAGGACAGAGAATAGCCTTCCCCACAGGCTCATCTGCTTTACATTGCCACTAGAGAGGGAAAGGCAGGGTAAAGAACAGGCCAAGGACATGTGCCTTCCAAGGTGGGGTGGGTTGAGGCTGATCGCTTCTCAGACCGCAATCTCTGCAGCAACCACTAGATGGTGCTCCAAGCCCTGTCCTCTTCTAGGGCAACCAAGTACCTCCTCTAAACCTAGATCTGAAGTCCCTTTGCACATATATGTTCATGCCTGTGCACATACATGTTCATGCCATAGTTCCACGAAGATCCTAATCTCACCCCCAATTTCATGTGGCCCCAAAGGATTACTCATGCAAATGGGGGGGGGTAAATGTACTAAAGCCCAAACTAAATTAACAGTGTCCATTTGTAAAACTCCTGCAAGCTAGTGCTGTCAAGGTCAGAAAGCTCCATGCACATATGGGGTCTTCCGCACCTCTGATCGGGTATGCCTGGATGCGCTTCTGCTTCCCGGCTCTTAGGAGAGACTTGTCTCATGTCAGTCCTGGCAGGTCACAGCAGAATCCAGGGTCCAGTGCCATCTTCGTTATGTTCTCTCTCTGATTTCCAGAAGGTTTCTCTGCACCACGAAGTTTCACCCTTTGGTGCATTGGGAATGGGGTGTCCCTGGACACACAACAAGGGTCACTGCCTCCAGGCCAGGCTTTAAGCTTATTTGTCCCTGTAATGGCTCAGGTGTTTCTAGTGTATTTCCTGCAAAGCCTGGGCAGTTTGGCTCTTGGTCCATTCGTTTCGTGTCCTCGTCTAGGGCCTAAAAAAACTGGAATATTGTAGCGACTAATCTGGTTCAAATATGGACCTCACAAATAAGTAAAATAATGTGAACATAATTGTTAGAGGGCTGCTTAACCCAATTAGGAGAACAAGTTAAGCTCACAGGGGTGCTTATTTGTTTGTGAACAGTGAATGTCCCCAACAAGGCTCATTGTAATTGTAAATAGTTACCAATGATCCACTTCTGTGAGTTACAGCAAATCTGGCAGGATCCTTGTTCGCCATTAGTTTGTGTTTCTGAGTATTGTAGAGCAACGAGCCGATTTCTTTTCATGTACTATGTAATTTAGATTTGTCGCAAATTCATACTGGTTCCCCCACCCCCTTCCCCGGTCATTCAAATGGGTGCAGTTTTGATGCCTTAGAGAAATGAATTAATCAGTCGTGCTAAAACATTTGACCACACTGGCTACACAGGGTCATAAGCATTTAGCTGAGCTTATGGTTAGCTAACTCTAACCCAAATTTGTTTAATGTTGAATCTGACATCATCAGCAGAACTGGGTTCTGACAGTTCATAAGTGAAGTATATTCAGATGCCCTAAGGTTGACAACTCTACAGTGGTGTGGCTCATGTCAGAGTGGATTCCTTCCCTGGTAAAGGTTGGAGAATTGGTTTGTGATCATCTGAACAGAGTATGAAGGGAATGAACATTTCAGAGCAAGGCTTAGCGGAATTCACTAACATTTATGGGTCCCCAAGAAATGTGCTCCATTGTAGGGCAACTGGGGAATAGACTTTTGGCTGGAGCTTTAGCATCTCTGGGTGTGGGGCAGTGCTGCTTCAGAGTCATTTAGATCAGTGGGTCAGGAAGCATTCATCAAACATTATGTGCCTGGGATTGTGCTAAGCACCAGGAGTACAATGAAAAAGACAGTCCCTGCTCTCAAGGAGTTCACAGTCTAATGGGGGAGACAACATGAAAACAAATATGGACACATTGTAGGCAGGATAAATTAGAAATACAAAGGGAAGACACTAGAATTTAAAGGGATTGGGAAAGGCTTTCTGTAAAAGGTGAGGTTTGAGCTATGACTTGAAGGAACCCAGGAGACAGAGATAAGGGAGGGGAAAATGTACAAATTCCAAGGCTAGAATGAGCTTCAGGGTGAAAAGGTTTCTGGGGTGTGGTAGAAGAAGGCCAGAGGACAGCCTGGAGAGGAGCGACATGCTGTGTGCTGGTGATTGTGTTTAGCCATATATTCATTTAACTGTGAGATCCTTGCCCAGTGATTTAATGGACACACTGCTGGAGGGACTGAATGATATCAAGGCTGACATTCTTGCGATAAATTAAATCAGAAGTCAACAGGAAATTGCAGCTAAATGGAAGGATGGCTCACAGGGCTTTCTTGGAGAGGGAAGTAAAACAACAAGAAAAATCATCATCTCTTATTGCAGTGTTTATGCTGAGTACTTGTAGCCTATCTGTTGTGAAAGATGAAGATGGAGACATTCTACAAAATATTCAAATAGGCCCTCCAAATTAAATAAACATATGCTTTATTTTTTAATGTATAGTTTTCAATGAACAAATGTTTGGTTTTCTTTCCTGCCTTCCTCTCCATTGGAAAACAAAAAAGAAAAACAAAAGTCTTGTAACAGGCAAAACAAATTCCTGCATTAGCCATATTCAAAAATGTAGTTCTCATTCTATATCTCTAGTCTGTCACCCCTCTTTCAATTGATGGGAAGCATGTTTCATTATGGGTCCTCTAGAATCAGAATTGTTTGCTGCATTGATCCAAGTTCTCAAGACTTTCTAAGTTGTTTGTCTTTCTAATGTTGTTATTGTATAAATTGTTCTTTGGTTCTACTCACTTCACTCTGTATCACTTCCTGCAAGTCTTCCTAAGTTTCTGTGAAATTATTCCTTTCATCATTTCTTATAGCACAATAATATTCCATTTTATTCCAATGTTATATTCATACACCATAATTTGTTCAGCCATTCCCCAATTGATGGGCAATCCCTTAACATCCAGTTCTTTGCTACTACAAAAAGAACTGCTTGTCATTATGAAGAGTTTTCCTGCCTTTTTTTTTACTTCATTCTGCATCAGTTCATATTTGTCTTTGCACGCTTCTCAGATTCTTCACATTCGTCGTTTTTTATAGTTCATTCATAAACCACCATTTGCGTAGGGAGCCCTTTCTTTGTTTCTAGTTCTTTGCCACCACAAAAA